TTCTTCCAATATAGTTTTGGTAATGATAACATCAAAGATATGTAGACAACAAAATTGAATTTTTGATCAGATCCTATGTAATCTAAAGATTAAGATATTTAAATTTATAGAGCTGCATTCAAATATTTTGATTTATATTTAGAATATTTATATTCAATACTAAAAAGTAAATTTTAGTTTAAGAAAGAGCTTGATTATCTTTTTGAAAGTTTACATGTTCTAAAATGTTATGAAGATCAACTTATACTTTTTCATGAAAAAAAAAAGTTATTTAGTTTTTTAGTTATTTTATAGATCTAATATGATATTTGATCGATCACAATTGTTTCTCAACACACAAGCGTGGTCTATCAGTATGACGGGTTTGGAAGATGCTACCACCAGATTCAAAATCAGTCGATATGAAACTGAACAACAGAATCCGACTAATGCCACAGAGTGAGCAAGCTCCCAAAAAATTAGTCGATTATACTTCAGTCCACGAATAATTCGGTTATAAAAAAATTTCTTGAATATGCATCCAGACATCGAAAAATATCTAGAATTTCCATCAAATCGGCCTTTAAGGGGCTGATATATGAATAAAAAAAATTGAAATAGACAACACAAAGCTGCTAACTCACTCATTAAGTGAAAGCCTGTTGGGCTCCAGAATTGACATCACCAGCTATCCCAATATCTTTTTTTTAATGGAACTGTGTGGGTGGGATTGTGGGGCATGTAAATTATTTCCAGTTATACAACTTTTTTGTTCTATAAACAGAAACATGATTAGCATCATCTTTATAGATCACTAAATCAAACCATCACATGTATAACTGAGAACTAATAAGCATCTTGGGTTTGCTTTTGATTCGATTAGTTTTATTTGAGTTTACCAACCAAAAGAACTAAAGAAGGGTTCAAAAACGAACTCACACAAAACTTTCTAGTTTCTAAGGAAATAAAATCTGAAAATTTTAAATTACATCAACAAAATTCATAACTGGAATACTCTGTTCATCACAGAAGAAATCCATTGGATCAACACTAGTTTTCACTCGCACCAATCTACCGAAATTGTTCTTGAAATACTTCACTCCCCAAATCTTTCCTTCTTCGTACTTAGTCTTCATATTCATCCCAACATTATACACACCCAAATCTACATCTCTAAAATTAACATAAGCTCCTCTTGGTGATTTTGAAACATAAGGAGTCATAAAATCGTATAAACTCTCAACCCATCTCATATATTTCTTTGTATCATTCTTGTTCTTGTCTTCTTCTTCTTTCCAATAAGCCAAATATTGAATCTCATAGAGATTCCCTCCTCTATGTGGGAATGGTATTTCATTTTCCGCAATATCACTCATTTTCCCACCAAATGGAGTGAGTATGATCTTTGCTAGCCGAGCCTCGGGTGCATAGACTCGCTTCCAAAGCTCTCGAATCACGGTTTTTGGTATCGGTTTTCGGATAAAATCGTCTTTACCCTTGAAAGATCTGGACGTACGCTTACGTTCCGTGAGAACATTCATTGATTCTCCTTTGATAAACCAGAGAACAGACTCAATCCAACTCATCTCTCTACAATCTCCACTCTTAAGACCTAGTTCCGGAAACTTCTCTTCCATTAACGCTAAAAGATCGCTTACCGGACCAAGATAAAGTCCCGGGAATGAAGCGTAAACTGCGGTATCATTCGATCTCTGCAGCATAGCTCTAAGGAAAAGATCATCAGTAACCTTATCCGCAATATACTGCCATTTGTTGATGGTTCGGACAGCCTCTTTCTCGGACGTTTTTGCGACGTCGAAGACCGTTACTACTGTCGGAACATCGACCAATCTAATCTTCCATGCTAAGACAACGCAGAAACTTGACCCGCCACCTCCACGGATAGCCCAAAAATAATCCTCACCCATGCCTTCACGGTCAAGAAACCTTCCATTTGAATCAACAATTTGCGCGTCAATTACATTATCTGCCGATAAACCGTATTTTCTCATCAGTGTACCGTACCCTCCACCTCCGAATTGCCCTCCGACACCGACCGTTGGGTAAAGACCGGCCGGAAAGGCTAGTGATCTGCTCAATTTCCCAATCTCGTTGTACAATTCACCAATTGTAGCTCCGGTTTGGACCCAACCGGTCCGGTTATCAACGTCTAATGTAATAGACCGGAGATTTCTCAAATCAATGACAACGAACGGTTTGGTTTTGGCGATGTAAGAGAATCCTTCGTAGTCATGACCACCACTCCGAGTCCTGACGTGGATGTCGTGGAGCCGTGCACATTTAATTGTTGACTGAACATCCGTGGCTTGAACCGGTGTGATGATTGAGACCGGTTTAGGTGTTTCGAGAACCGAGAATCTTGGATTTTGTATGGAAGAATTCAAGATTGAGAGGAAAGAAGAGTCTTCAGATGTGTGTATGACTCTTGATTCGAGGGTGACGTCATTTATCCTGAGAGAGAGACAGCTGAGAAAGTCTTTGTGGTTGGTTAGATGAGCAAGAGTAAGGTTGAACAGAAGAAAAATTGTAAAGAGAGAAAGCCAAAAGTTCAAGAACTCCATTGTTTATGCAGAGAATGTGAGTGAGGAATATACGGGTTAAGATGGATCTGAAGAACTTTATATTCTTTTTTTATTTGTATATGAATTGGATGTGTGCTACAATTCTTCTTTTAATGTAAAGCTGATTCCATTCGACAAGATAAAATAATGATGTGTTGTTATTAAAGAACATGGTTGGTTTGAGTCCTTTTCTGAGAATTGTTTTGTAGATTGTTACATAACTTACATTTGCGGCCACCAAAGTCACGTGTCTGCCTACTAGTACTCACATTATGCTTTGTTCTAAGACAAATATTTAATAAGTGAGTTTCTGACAAGTGATAAAACACTAGTAGTAATATTTTATTGAATCGAATATGTACGTAGTACTTTTTTTAACCAAAAAGAAAGAGTAACCAATGACGCTCTGTATTTGAATTGAACATGTTTCAAGATTTAAAACCTTTTACTGTTTTAATATTTATTTATCATTTTATTATATTAGTATGTTTGTGGATTGTTTTTGTACGGTAAAACACATGAGATTTTTGGTAACATAGATTATGAATGGAAGAGAATAAGTGCAGATTTCCCGCATATGCAGTTTTTCCGCACTTAAATTATCTTCATTTCTTTTTTCTTTAAAATCAGTTCAAGCGGAAGATTATACAGTTCAATATTTTTTTATTTTTTTGTGAAAGAAAAACAGAAGATCTGCATTCAGTTCACACCGCCATACATTTTAGGTTGTTCATCCGTATTTTTTTTTTCTTGACCAATAAATCATTACCAATTTTTAATTCAAAAATATATTTATTAACTTTTATAAATACAATATATTTATTCTATTTTACTATCAACTTTAATATAAGAATTATCATTGTATATTTATTTCTCTTTTATTTTCTTCATAGAATTTTTATATTTATATAATGTATATTTTAATTATATTTATGTTTATATAGTGTGTATTTTAATAATAATATAATTCTAATATGTATTCTACAAATATATAATATTATGATTTAAATATATATACTAATAGAAAATAATTATATAACATTAAATTTTAATATTTCATATTTTGAGTTTGAAATTACAGTAATAGAGTTTTAATGCAATATCTATTGTTATTTATGTATTTTATTTTATGTTGTGTAGTTTAATATATTTTATTTTTATTATTTAAACATATAATCTGTTTTATTTGAACTGTATTTACTATTTAAAACTATAACAATTATTTGGTTTGTTTGATCTGCATCTCTCATGCTTAATCTGCATATTCTCTGCTTGATCTACACTTGCACCGATTAAACTGAACCATAATTTGCAGAATTCAGTACAACTTTTTGAAAACTACAGAAACACCAATCATATATTTATCTGTTTTAGGTTATGAATGATAATATGCTAGTTCGGATTTTTAAGCGTTTTTAGCATAACCGCAGTTACTTATACCATTCGTAAAAATTATGATTAGGATCTGTGGAATATGACGGTTTTGTCACTAATCATAAGAATAGTTCAAACAGTGTAAATCAATCAGACCATGCAAGTGAGATAAATGTATATCAAACAGAAAAAAAAAAAAAAGATATCATGTGAGAGACATACATATCAAACAGATCATGATGCTTGAGAGATGCAGATCAAATGTGTGGTCTCTCAAATGTTCCATTTTCTCTTCCACAAGAGATTAAGCTGGAAATGAGATTGGGAGTATAGAGAAGAAAGCTAAGACATAGAGAAATTTCGGCTTGAGGACAAATTGCATCTGAAAGGATGAAGTATTGATATGTTCCGCAGTGTCTTCTACAACAGACTTAGCCGCGCATATTGTATGTTCTCTACTTCTCTTTCTCATGTCTTGTGCTTGTATACGACTGAAATGTTGCCATGTGAGCTTCACCTCCAATCACCAAGAAATCGTGAGCATATTTTGTTAGCCATCATGTAACTGGTTTAATTTCGATCATCAACAAGCAAAATGTTTACGAGTTCCTATCATCGAACTCTATCAGAGTCCTTGGATCCACGTCAATTCTGGGCTGAACATATATACTCGATTAATCTCAAAGACTCTGAAAATTGCAAACATTAAGCAAAATATATTTAAGAAAATAATAAAATAAAACAAAGAGTGTTGTTTTGTTTATGTTTGAAGTTTGGAGATGAATGGCAACAAGTCAACGAAAGGCTTTCATATGAAGCAACTAAGATTCAGATTACAAATCAGCATGTGAAGAATATCCTCTTAACTTATGTGAAAATTCTACTACACGTCGCCAAGTTTGGGAAAATTATCAGACAACGAACAAGAAGATTTGAACCGGCCAAAACCAAACAACATAACTGAACCATTCTTGAAGCAGCCAATCCTTTGATCCACTTATCTTACAACAACTTTGATACCTTCTTTCTTTAAATCAAACTCGTAAAAAATAAATCAGAAGCCTGTCATTTGATAATCTGTGGTCTGTTGCTGCGAGTTTTCGATCTGGTTCTGTGGACTTTGGGTGGTGTATCAACCGTTAATGCATACATTTTTACAGCAAATAACTCTTCTGGAAGACCCTTCTGATCCTGGAAAATGGTATTGGAGAAGAAAAAAATGTAAATTTCTAAAAACCAACAGTTTATAATAAAAACAGTCTTTAGATGACTAAAAACAGACAAGAACTCAACCTTTGCTTGATAGAGATGTAACCCACATCTACGAAAGAGTTCTTTAAAGTACGGATTGGATCGTGTGATGCTACGATCCTCTTTATCCAATACAAATCCTGCTCAAAACCAGAAAAAAAAAACATTAGCTCTTTTGTCTGATAGAACTTTTCATCAGAACAAGTGAGCCAAAAAGAGTCAAAGAACCTTTCTTAGCGAGATTCTCTTTCACAACAAAAAACCCACCGGGTTTAAGGCATCCCTGGAGATCAACCAAGAACACATACATGACTTCAGTGAATTTGAAACCAATAAGAAAAAACAACGTCATTACCTTTGCTCGGTTGAAGAAAGAAACAAAATCATCATCAGTGAGATGTCCAATGCACCATTGAACCCATATGACATCATACCTTTGAGCAGCTGGAGTAAACTCCTATATGATTTATATAAACAATTCACAAAAACAAATGTAAAGGAGAACTGCAAAACAAAGATAAAAACAGAGAATGTAGAAGATGCACCACAAGAATGATAATACCTGAAGAGGTACACAGAAAAAGTTAGTTGCTTTGTGTGTTTCTGAACCTACAGATGCCAAATTCTCACGTGCGGCATCAAGGAACTGCGCTACAGGCTCAAGAAGATCAACCTAAGAACAAACAAAAACACAATTGATTTGTCAAATGAAACTAAAAACAGAGAAGAACACAAACCTAAGTTATTATAGAACATTCACCTCGTTGAAGTAGCGTATCAGAAGATTCTTGGTGATCCTCCCAATACCAGAACCACAATCTGCAAATGATTTGTATGCTTATCAATTTAAGGAAACTCATATGCTAACAAAAATCAAGAAACACCAGTGAGAGTAGTAGAGTACCAAGAGCCACAAGATGCTGATTTGTTCCTCCATTGACTAATCTTTCTTGCATAAGAGTCTTGAGAAAAACCTCACTTCCTGTAATATCAGCATCATTCACATGCCCATATCCTCCTAACACTCCATCAACAGAAGCTTCAACACCCTTAAAATTAAAAAAAAAAAAAAAAAA